AAAGCTATGTGACTAGGGTTGCACTTAAGATTATGATGCAAGTTATTTTCTATTTTATCGGGTATATTGAATCCGATAAAATTTGTCATATAACAAGAAATTTTCGAAAAATTATTTTTGATATTGCATAGAAATAGTTTTGTGATTTGTAATTGTTGTTCAGTGTATGTTAATTTATCCCATAAGTTATACTACCATTAGTTGTATATATTGACATTTATAGATTTCTACAACATGCTCGATATGCATAAACGTAAGGGCTAAATTTTATGTGCATTCATGTAGAGTTATAAGAAAACTAGATGGTTCTGCACATATGAATAAGTAAATGCATAAGTGAAAGTGTAAGAGGTGAATGAAAAAATTATAAAATTTACTAAATAAAATATTGAGTTATTATTTTAAATTGTGTTATTTTATTTAAAATAGTTATTTAAATATGCTTGACATATATTTAATGTTGATATTAATTCTCATACTAACACTGTCCTTAATAGATAAAACACCTGATATGTTAACATTTACTCAAGTAGAACTTATTATTTACTATTGAGAGCCTGATCATCAGTATGCTACTATTTTAAATATATTCTTTTGACATTCATAGTGATATATCTATTTTGATGATGAAAAATTTTAACCATGATTATTGTATATCTTCTTTTTGATTGTATGGTTTGCGATATGATCAAAATAGATATTGACTATTATTTTGATTATATTAATGGATTTAATGTTTGTGAAAATAAAGATGAAAAAAAAAATTTCTTTCAAATAGAGCTTGGAAATTAATCAATTATTGCGACCTAATTGAATATAACAATTTACATTATGTCGGGTCATAATAGATTGTGCCAAAAAAGAATGACTCCTAGCATATATGCATTGACAACAAGGTTGTGAGAAAATCACCATCAAGTATTGGTTCCCCATTCCATGACTGAATGATTTGTTAGATCTATTGGATGGAGCCCACACTTTTCGAATATTGATTTGCACATTTGTTTCACCCAGATCAGGATGAGACAAGAAGATGAGTGAAAGATAACTTTTTAAGAGTTGTGATAAATTGCACGTGAACAATCATGCTTTTGGCTTGTTCAATGCTTCGAGAAATTTCATGCAGTTGATAAATCAAGTTTTTTGAGCTTTCATCAAAAATTCGTGATAATATATTTTGATAATATCCTGGTCTAACATTACTTGGGAAAGGGTTTTGGGATGCTTCAAATAAACCAATTATATATTTATCTAAAGAAGTTTCACTTCCTAACTATAAAAACTTGCTTATTCGGATACAATGTATCATCAACCAATAATGAGATGATCTAGTCAAAATTGAGGCAATCGTTAGCTAGCCCAATCCACAACCATTTTGCTCGAGTATATCAATTTCAAGGATTGACTTCATTTAACAAAAGATTATAAAAAATTAATTAAGCTTCTCAAGTCCCACAAATTCACTTGCTCAGATGAAACACATATTAGTTTTGAATTTTTAAAAAATAGGTTACACAGGAACATGTCCGATCTCTTCCAGATTTTAATCAAGTGTTTAAAGTTGAGTGTGATGCCTCCACTATGGAGATCAGAGCTGTGTTGAGTTAAGATGGACACCCTATTGCCTTTTTTAATGAAAAATTGAATAATTCCAAGAGAAGATATTTTATGACAAGGAGTACAATGCTATTATGAGAGTTCTTAGTCATTTGAGTTATAATCTGATGGTAAATGAGTTCACCATTTACTCATGAGAACTTGAGGGTCTTGAACACTTGGAGCAAACTGAAGGGTAGACATGCTTCCTGATTCAATTTCATATCTTCATTCTTTTTGTGCTCAATCACAAACACAAAGCTGAGAGTCATAACAAAGATGTTGATTCCTTAAGTCACCATTATCTATTAATTTTTATTATGCAGTCTACAATAGTTGGTTTTGAAGTTTCAAAAGATCTGTATGCCAATGACGGAAACTTCAAGAGATTTGGATTTGTTGTAAGGAGAGACCTTATGAGTATCACACATTTGATGATCAACAAATCTTCCAAAATAGATTGTGCATTTATAGTTCAATCAATAAGTCTATCTTAAGTCCGACAAAATTTCAACTTGATAGCAGTGCTTTTAATGTAGCTTCTCAAGTCCGACAAATTCACTTGCTCGGGCAAAACACATATTAGTTTTCAGTTTTTAAAAAATATGTTACTCAGGACCCTGCCTTATCTCTTCCAGATTTTAGTCAAGTATTTAAAGTTGAGTGCGAAGCCTCCACTATGGGGATTGGAGCTGCATTGAGTTAAGATGGACGCCCTATTGCCTTTTTCATTGAGAAATTGGATAATTTCAGGAGAAGATACTTTATGACAAGGAGTATAATCCTATTATAGGAGCTCTTAGTCATTTGAGTTATAATCTAATGGTAAATGAGTTCACCACTTATACTGATCATGAGGTCTTAAGAGTCTTGAACACTTGAAGCAAACTGAACGGTAGACATATTGAAGCAAACTGTACCTTCTGAGTCGAGTTCATTTCTTCATTCTTTTTTGTGTTCAAACACAAACACAAAGCTGAGGGTCACAACAAAGTTGTTAATTCCTTAAGTCACCACTATCTATTAATTTTTATTATGTAGTCTACAATAGTTGGTTTTGCAGTTTCAAAGAATTGGTATGCCATTGATGAAAATTTTCAAGAGATTTTGATTCTTTGTTAGGAGAGACCTTATGAGTATCACAGATTCAATGATCATTAGTTCTTACAAACTAAATTGTGCATTTATAATTCAATTGGGAAGATTATCTTACAAGAGTGTCACAGCAGAGGAATGATTTGACATTTGAGCAAGAATAAGTTTCTCACCTCGGTGAGATAGATTTTCTATTGGCCCATATTGGTATGATAAGTGTAAAGACATGTTAGACATCACAGTGCTTGTTAATTAGCCAAGACCCGAGGGCAAAATATAGATCCATACACTCCCCTTCCCATTCCAAGGTCACCTTGGGTGGATGTAAGTATAGATTTTGTTATGGGTCTTCCATTGACCCAAGAGAGTAAAGATTTAGTTATGGTGGTTATAGATCACTTTTTCAAGATGACATACTTTGTACCTTACCACAAGTCGATGTACGCTTCACCCATTACACACTTATAGTTTAGAGAGAGTCCATCTTAATGGTGCATCAAAACCATCACCTCAGACAGAGATGTAAAGTTTATGAGTGACTTCTGAAGGATTTTCTGGAGTGAGTTAGATACAAAGTTTCAGTTTAGCTCAACAGCCCACCGTCAAATAGTTGGGCAGACAAGTGGTAAATCAGAGTTGGAAAATCTCCTTAAGTATTTTGTGGTCAAAAACATCAAATAATGAGACTTAATTCTTCCTCAAGTTGAATTTTTCTTGCAGCAGGTCCTCTAATCAATTCATATGTCACGAAATCGCTAAAGATTACATACGGATAAAACCCCCTAACAATATTAGAGTCATTGGCGTTACTTCCAGCTACTAAACTTGGTAATGACGTAAAGGCTAGAGTTAGAGAGATTCACACCCTATATAAGCAAGTGTAAGAGAAAATTTCCAAACAAAACACCAAGCACCAAAAATAGACTAACAAGTCTATGAGATGCCAGATTTTTAAAATATTGTTAATCCTCAAAAGGTTGAGTCAATTATAGATTGGCCTCGACCAACTGATGCTGCAAATGTTCATTTTTTTCTTGGCTTAACTTAGATATTATACAGGTTTTGTTAAAATATTTTCCTAGATAACAATGCCATTTGTCCATATTAGCTAAGAAAACTAGATGGCTGTGTACATATTAACTCAAAAACTATCAAGTTAAGCTAAAGAGAGGCATGCGATCAAAGACTCTAGAAGTACTAATTAATTTCAGTTCAATTAACCATGCCATTAAGAAAAAAGGGCTTTCAAATATCAACAACAAATGTAAACTACGTCAGTGTTAGGGTTAAGTGGGCTAAACTGAGACTCTTAATATTATGGAACAAGCAAGAATGTCGGAATTAGATAGGGAATCTCCATTGAATAAGAGCTTCATTTCTCTTCTTTCATCTTTTTGTAAATTCTTTTTTGTCTCAGTTACGGGACAATTGATGTAGAATTGTAACTTCTGTTTGTAAGGAGATCTGTAAGCACAAGAGTTTGAATTCATAAATCATTAACTCCATCCGGAAGCCAACAGCATGAAAGTTAATAACAGCAAAAATCCCTAGAAATCATGAAGCTCACATCTAGAAGAGTTGTTGAAATGGTTACAAAAAACTAAGGGCCTATTTGGGATCTTTTTTACTTTTCACTTCTGTTTTTATTCTTTTTTTAAACATTTATTTAGCGTATATTTCGCATATTTTTTATTTTAAATTTTAAAAATAAATCAGCTTGTTTTTAAAAATACTCAATAAATTTTAGGCGATATGAGTGTATTAAAAACAAATGCCAATCAACACAAACAAAATAAATAAAAAACAAAAAGTGATCCTGAAGTTTTTTTTTTATTCTTATTATTATCTATTTGATTCTAAAATAGTTAATCATTTATCCTTTATGTCCTCTCATTTATATTTCAGGCTCTCATTTATATTTCAGGCTATAAAACTTCACTCGAAACTCAAATAATAAACTCTTAACTAGGTCTCCTATCTTGCATGTCAGATTTCCATGCTGCCCACATATACCGTGTTAACTTCTGACTGCGTGAATAAACCAAGATTCTTCAATATAACAAAGAACAACTGAGGGCTGTTACATGGTCTCTCTGACAGCTTACAGTTATCAAGATATCCTCATACCTCATGCATGGAATGTCAAATTAGATACTGGAAATAACAGGTTTTCCAAAAATAAATTAACAAAATTCAAATTAAACAGTGGCCTTTGCCTTGGGAAAAATTAAAAAAAACAGTATTATCTCCAGTTATAAACAAGTAAACTTTAGCAGAAGAAAACTGGTGATAGTGTCTAAAAAAAATACCTGAAAGGACACCATGTATAATCAAGGATTCTATTGAATGCAAATCATCAATACTTTCTTCAATTTCAGGAGTCAAAGAGCACAAACTCCTTAAGATAGTTGACTGATTATTTTCACCTGCATCTTTGCAAATTAGAGACTCCACAGAAATAGTCAATAAAAAAATAGAGATAGATATCATAATACAAACCATTCAAGGATTGGGCGGGCATTGCTAGATCCAAAATTGTTATCATATTTTGCCTAGCTTGTCCCGCTAAAAACTGTACCATCCCACCCATATCCGTTGCACCAGAAATATTCAGTGATTCTGAATTCACACCCAGTGATTCCATCCTAAAGGGAATACTAATTGAGTGTATTGAGGCAGCATAAATAGCACTACTATGAAAGAGATTCTGGTCTTCAATAAATAGCGTGGATGACAGTTTACCTTCAGAGGGAAAATTATTCATCAGAAAAAAGGAAAAGAAAGAGAAACATTAAAATGGTGGACTAAGGAATGCAAGAAATAAAGATAATTTTTTAATGGTAACTCTTTATATCAAACAAAAGGTACAAATTCTTCACTTGGAAGATGTCGGATGTGGTAAAACATATCTTTTGACTTGAAAAGGAAGAACTCAACAAAATTCTTAAAATTAACAAAATATGATGAATGCAATATCTTAGCACACCAGTTACAAGCATTGAGATGCAAAAATCACATAGCTACAACTCCCTGAGGATATCCATGCATGCAAACTTCCATGAAAATAAGTGACTAGATGCATGAACCTGTACTAGAGTCAAACTGCAGAAACAGAAGAAAATTACCCAAAATAAAATCATCACTAGCTCTATTTTCTCTCCAATACAGTTTTAGCTTTAAAAACTACAAACCAATTGCAAATCAGTAGTTTTAAGATGAACAAAATGATGCATACTTCTACTCAAAAAAGGCAATCCAACTGGTACCATCAGTTTACAACAAGAAGAAAGCCTTGAAAATGATACAGCATCATGAAGAGCCCTTGCGACAGAATCCTTTAAGCTTTTTCCTAGTTTATAAGAAGATGGACTGCGTGCAGAATAGAGCAATACGGGTGTATTTGAGTATTCATCAGCGATATCCTCCAAGAAACCAGCAGCAATGGCTGAAAAACTTCCAGTATCATCAACAATAAATTGGATGCCCTGTAAATCCAGTAACTTAAAAAGATAAGTATATTGCCAAAATAACATCATTACCTCCATCATCATAATCATCAATTGCCTCATCTTCATTATTTGGGGTTGACTTTATGAATACACATTTTTTTATTCATTGCTTTAGGGTGCTGCCTGCTATGTTAAACCAACCCTTCACAAATCATTTTCAACAACCTAATCTATGTTACCCTAGGCCTACACCTCCTTTCCAATTATCTGACATTAGTTTTCTCTAGGGGTGCGGGTGCATTTTCCAAAAGTTTATCTTTAATATATGTAACCGCAATCAATCATTTAATATAATCATTCCTCAACCATCTTAACACTCTTACTTCGGCCAAAATTAACATAGATATCAAATACTTCTATACAATTCAACACTCCAGTCAATACAACATAATCGGCCTAATGACAGTTTAATAAAATTACTTGAAAAGCCTCCTTGACATCCTCTTATTGCGTAATATTACATAAGCACTTATCCATTTTTAAACATCTAGCATTAATTCTAGCGATAAAAAAATTTTTAAGCAGCGTCATTAAAGCCAAAATTTCAAATAAACACAAGCTTTAATTTGAGCTGGATTGTAATCATTTGTGAATTCTTTGCGAAGGGAGATGAATTTATCAAACATGAACAACCATGGTTCTCACTACACGTATATGCAAGTTGGAAAGACTACTAGGTTAGTAAAAAATTAAAGGGGCATTTACGTACATACCACCCATAAGACTTGTGAGCGACCAGGAGGCATTTTTTCGCAAACATTGCAATGGAGCCATGAACTCCAGCGAGGAAAGCGGCTAAGACGGGTCTAGGAAGTCTGGTCGACCATTCCTTTACATGGATTTCCTTCTTATTTTGAGCATGGCTCACTCCTCTTTGTACTAAGACTATTTATATGTTATTGCTTGTGTTTTAGGTCAGCCTTTGGCTCAGATTTCTATTAGGATCGCCGTCGGCATCCGTTCTTCCCTTCAAGGGCCATATCCAAGGGTTGTGGGTGCTTCGACTGTATTTTTCTCCCAAAGTGGTTATTTATCCTTCATCCATCGCACCCTGCCGCTCCACTTTGTCTTTCCCTGCTCCAACCTCTTCGAGGACACTAGCTTTTGATATTTTTCACTACAGTCTTTCCATCCAGCCGTTCTTGCTTGTTGCTCGCACCCTGAACAACCGCCTCTTGTTGTTCTTGTGGCGCCTCGTTTTGTCTACCCATAGGAGAGGAATCGAAGAGTCGAACGCTCGAGAGAAACCAAAGAAGAGGAAACGACGAGTTGGACAACCATAGAAGGAGCATAGGAAGCGAGGGGAGGTCGGGAAGCCGAGGAGGTAAATTTGCCGATAAAATGTTGCAATCGGCTTACCTGGAGAGATAAACGGTGAAAAGATCACAAGTCAGGCTTTCTACATGCGATAGGCGTGCTCAACATAAAGGATATCGGGCAATTTGAGGCTTGGATGATTCGGCTAACAGAAGGGAGGTGAAGGCGTGAGGATTCCCTGAGTAGGAAGAGTCGACAAAGAAGTAGGAATTGACATCAAGGCCGTAGGGAGCCGAACGTGGACAAAGGAGTGAATTGCATCTGCACGTGTTTAGAGCTTGACCAAGAAGGCTTGACCAGAAGAATTTATAATGGTGAGTTTATTAATTATAATATTTAATAAGAATTTTATACATGTAATACAAACGTTGCGTACCTCGATCTGTTGGTTCACATCCACGGTATAAAAACCGCAAGTCGGGGGTACGAATCCCCTCTGACACATTTGGCCTTAAGGAGATGGTACTCAAATTGTTAGGCACATTTGGGGAGGCTGGAGGCTCGTTTATTAACTCTGGCCATTCCTAATATATATATATACAGATTCAA